AAGAGCAGCCACTTTGAAACGAGACTTCTCAGAGGCACTGCTTGAAGGAAAACATTCACATGAGGTCAAATGATACATCACTGAGTTTACGTTTCCAATAAATAATCTGGAGAGGCCGCTGAAGCGATCAACAGACTCATCCTGGACGTGATTTACCCAATAAATGTGACAATATTCCTCCCAGGAGCCGACTGTGGTTTCTGTCTAACAGCAATAAAGTCACACTTTGCTGTTTTGTGATTGCCAATAAAAACCTGGACAATAATTCAACTGTTTACCTGAGCAATACTGACTTCGATTGTATTACACTGCACATTTCAAGCAATAATCTAGTTTCAGCATTGATTTATATCAGTCTTGTTACACTACTGATGTTGATATCACCCAGTGGTTGAATGTGACAAAGTACATTTACTCTACTTTAATTTTGAGGTACTTTTACTTTGCTTGGGAATTTTGTTTTCATACCACTTTATACTTCCATTCTACTACGATCCATAGAGAAACGAAGTACTTTTTACCTCACAACATTACTAAACTAGATTAGCAAACAGTTGAGTAAACACTAAATGATTATAATGAAACTTTAAACAACTTTGAGATTCCTAGACTTGAAAAAAGAAATTGCATTGCATACTTTTAATGTAATACTTTAAGTACATTTTGCCGATTATACTTACTTTTACTTAAGATACATTTTACAAGTAAAGGACATGAACAATGTCCTCAACACTGTATTTACTGTAACTCAGTGTTGTTGTTTATCTCAATGTATTTGTTGTCTTCAGAGGTAGTAATGAGATTTTCTTACTAATACGTTTGTTTGAAAGATGCGTTATCCTTCACTTTACACTTAAATAGTATACTCTCAATATAATTCTGAGTAGCTAATACCTCTTATATAAACCCTAAATAATAAGGCTTTATCAAATGAGTTAGTTTGAAAGCTGCATTTCTGCTTTACTTCCACAAAAAAGCTTTTTCTGAGAGCAGCTAATGGCTCTTAAACAAACCCTCCAACATAATCAGGAATATTAAAAGTTAACCACATCAGAGGCCCCTTTCCCAACGCCACACACTGCAGCAACAGGACCCTCAGCATCTGGCCCCTCTTTCTTCAGACACACAATAAATCGGAAAGTATGCGTCTTTGGTTACATGTAAATTATAGGCAGTTCTTCCAGAGCCGGAGGGGGGATCAGTATCCACGTTCAGTTCACGTATGAAAGGGAGAAACCTGGCTAAAAAGCTCGCTCCAGACATCTTCCTCTTGTTTCCCCGGGAAACAGGAGAGGAGGGTTGGAGTCAGGTGACAGGGGCCACACACACACACACACACACACACACACACACACACACACACACACACACACACACACTACACACACACACACACACACACACACACACACACACACACACACACACACACACACACACACCACACACACACACACACTACACACACACACACACACACACACACACACACACACACACACACACACACACACACACACACACACAACACACACACACACACCACACACCACACACACACACACACACACACACACACACACCACACACACACACACACACACACACACACACACACACACACACACACACACACCACACACACACACAACACACACACACACACACACACACACACACACACACACACACACACACACACACACACACACACACACACACACACACACACACACACACACACACACACACACACACACACACACACACACACACAATGTTGTGAGCTCGAGAGCAGATTTAATTACAGTCTAAAAGACCAAATAATGTCAGCTTTTTATTTCTTTGTGATATGATGAGCTTGTGCAGAGGATTTGTTTTCAAGCAGAAGCAGATGTTTTTATTCCTGATTACACTGTAACACCGCCTCTGACAGCAGGCTGGTGATACTAATGATGATTTTTCAGCATGTACTGTGTAAAAGAAAGAAATACAGAAACCAGCAGAGAGACACAAAGTGGGAACGCATGATCAAAAGCATGCATTTCCCCCACTGCGTTTTAAAGATGTGAGATGCTTCCAAACGCTTGTGTTTTAAAATGCAGCACACTGATGGATTTTAAATCACACAACTTGTCTTTCACCACCTGAAGAGCAATAAAAAGACACTTGGTTTGGCTTTAGACCAACCGATTAGCCTCTAATCACCGCTCTGATTTTCTTCAGCATTTCAATAATATGAGCTGCTCACTGATGGCTGTTTCCCCCGGTTTAATAAGCACGCTTTCAAGGACAGAGGGTGAAAATACTTCAAAATGTTGTGTTGAGCGAAGAAAGACATTTTGTTTTCAAAGGCTGAACACCAACGAAAACGGATAAAAGCAAAAATGTTTCCTTATGAGGAAAGATCCCGATTAAGACTAAGCTCACACACCCGATACATTGAAGTGAACCAACATATATTTCCCTTGTATTTCCCCTGATAGAGAGTAGTACTCACCACAGGAGCAGCAGGTGAAGCAGTTTGTGTGATACAGGTTCCCCATCGCCTGGCAGGCCTGACTGGCTCCATACACTCCTTTCCCACATTTCACACAGATGCCTGTCAGAGGAACACACTCCGTTAGTCACTGCTGTTCATCCTGAGCAAAACAGTCAAATAATAGCATCGGACACAGTGTGGAAAGAAAAAGTCCCGCAGAATCATTTAACACACTTTGTCATTAGGAGATTTGCAAAAAAAAAGATCATATCACAACCTCTCCTACAATACATCATACCCTCTTTTAAATCTTTAAATGTAACTTGTAAAAAAAGTACAAAAATGTGCATTTGACTCTGAAGTAAACTGTTTTTCTGAAAGATGTTGAAAAAAAAACCAATACAATTGTTTTCTCTTCCAAAAGATAGCTTTAACCACTGTTAGAATAACACAGGTTTCTGAATGAAGATCATATCTGCTGTGTGTGCCCACCATAAGCACACAATCATTTCTGGACATGATGCCAGCTTAGTTGGAGCATTGCTTTGAAACTGATAAAAAAGTGACTCTGCCAAACCATGTGTGCATTCCTGTAATTATGCAACAGTCAATAAAAGCAAGTAGAAATGATTAACCAGCTTTAAATGTCATCACTACTGTAGTTCGTCCTCCGTTGCCTTTGCAGTAAAACTTCATTAAATGATTTGATATTCCAGTTTCATAAATCTAACCTAAACTTCTGTCATTTCCAAGTATTTCATCATGCTGTTTTGAAGGCTAACTTCTACAGGAGAGCTGATGAAAATGTCAAAATGCTCCGAAAGGACATGCAGTGGATGAGAGAGGAGAGAGAGGAAGGACAGACCAGAAACAAAGTCCACAAAACCGTTGTTCTTCTCCTTGTTCGCAGGGAATTGATTGAGCATGCTGAGGGTGATTGAATGTGCTGCTGAACAATCCAATCAATACAAGAGCGAGAAACTTGAATTTACTTTTAGGGGTATTTAGATTATTGGGGAGACATTTTTATTGAACTGTGGCATTTTCACAGCATCCTCAAATTGAATAACTTGACTCTCTTCTTTATAATTTCTTTCCAGATGAGAAGGGTGTCATTGTCCCTAATCTTCACCTATATGTTCAGTTAACAAACCCTTTGAGTCCAAACTCTGTCAGCGCATCACTGTGAAAACATTTTCAGTAGTTGCCTAAAATTAAGTAACTAAAATAAGAGCATAATGAGCATTACGGCTACTGAAAACACTCATTTGAATGTTAAGTATTCCTCTAACAGAGACAATCAAAGTTAAAGTTAAGAAAGAAAGAAAGCCTTAGTAGCTATTATTCAGTATACACCCATCACTTGAAGTCTCAGCTAATTAAGTATTTTCATTATTGACTGATCTGCAGATTAGTTTCAAGATTAAATAATAAGTTATTTGGTCTATAAAATGTCAGAAAAGTGAAAATGTCCATCCCACTTTCTTTATAATCCAAGGTGATGTCTTTAAATATCACGTTCTGTCTGTCAAAAACCCAAATATATTCACTTTAATTTAATTAAATCTCCATATTTGAGTGTCGGAAAACAGCATTTCTGACAATTCTGCATTAAAACGTATGATTAAACGTTGATCGAAATAGTTGGTGATTATTTTATTGATTAAATTACCAATCTTTGCATCTGTATTGCTAACTAACTGTGATACGTTTTGTAACTGAGCACTTCAATACCACTCTGAGACAAAACAACAAAAGATAACAAAGAATATGTTACGATATTTTACATAAAATAACCACAACTGCTCCAACTTGGGTTCAAACCTTTGTTTCCTCCTAACTGAGAAAATAGACTTCCTTGTCCTTTAATTAACTTGTGTGTAATTGTAGAACGTAATGTCCTCCTCAGACAACTTGACCACAGACCAACCCAAATCTCAGCTAAAAACTGTCCAGCACTTTGGCCAACTGGGGTTGTTTTAAATGTGCTATAGAAATAAATAAAGATTGAGATTGAGATTGAGGGAGGAAATGCCCAGACAGCAGCCACAGGTACACAATGAGTAATATGACCTTTAGTGAAGAAATTAGATAGTCTGGAGGGGGGGGGGGGGGCAGAAACAGTGGCTTCAAACTATTTGTATTCGCAGCAGCAGACTAACGATCTCCAAACTCTCACGAACAAGACGACCTCCGCCGGGGTCACATTCCTCGGGGAGAGCAGGGTCAAAGCTGGGGGGGGGGGGGGGGGGGGGGGGGGTGAGTCCAGGGTCAGAGTGCCTACAGGACACAAGACCCCCCCCCCCCCCTCCCTCCCTCCCATAGAGCAGAGGTGGGAGAAGTACTCATATCTTGTACTTGTGTAAAAGTAGAAGTACCAGAGTGTAGGAATACTCTGTTACAGTGAAAGTCCTGCATTCAAAATGTTCCTCAAGTAAAATGACAAAAGTAATCGGATCAAAATATAGTGAAAGTAGCCACAGTAAAAGTAGTGATTGTGCAGATTGGTCCATTTCAGAATAATATATATGATACGTTTTATAATGATTGATCATGAAAGTGTTCTCAAAGCTGGTAAAGGTGCAGCTAGTTTGAATGACTTTGTATACTGCAGGGTAGCTTGTGGATTTACTCCAGGTGGAACTAAAGTCTGATTTAACACTTGATTATATTTCACATCATTCATCCACATCTGTAAAGTAACTAAAGGTATTAAATACATGTAGTGGAGTAAAAGTACACCATGTAACTCTGAATTGTAGTGAAGTAGAAGTAGCAAAGTAGCATAAAATTGAAATACTCAAGTAAAGTACAAGTATCTCAAAATGGTACTTAAGTACTTGAGTAAATCTACTTAGTTACTTCCCACCTCTGCCATAGAGACATCATTACACTCACTCCTCTCTTCAATAAATGTACAGTCTGGCACTAATGTACTTTCTCAAAGATATTGATTGATTGATTGTTGATTGATTGTTATTTTGTATATATTGATTGTTGTGCTTTTATTTAGGTCTTAATGTGTATATAGGTATATACATATTTGTTTTTGTATTCGGGATTGTGGGAAACGGTATTTGGATCTCTCCATCTGTACACACAAACTGAAAGATTGACAATAAAGTTGACTTTGACTAAATACACATTTCAGGAAGGATTCGGAGCAAGGACGCCCCTTCTGTGACGTAATGGTAGAACTTCCTGGCTATCTGAAGCAATAACTTCCCTTTTATAACAGCTTCAGAGCAGCATGGGACAGATAAAGGCCAAGGGTACGGAGAAACTTGCAAAGGTTATTTCCTTTTAAATCTCAAGTGTTTGCACAAATTAATAAAACGGAAGTCAAATATTGGCGTTTCTTTCACTCGTGCACTCTCTAAAGATAAGAAGGCGACAAAAGTGAACGAGTACACTTCAAATAAACTTCAATTGGTTGAACAATTCTCCAAAATGAAAGTCCATGATGATAAACACAAGGGGTGTACAGCTATATGGATACATGTTTATATTCCAATATCATTAATGCAAAGAAAAAGCATTGAACATTCCCATGGCATGTCCGTCACTTTTTTAGTCCAAGCGCGCTTCCTTCAATGGCATTTAAACCGTGATTAAGCATTAAAATGGTGCCCTTTTTAGCACGCAAAACAACATGTCTATTAAAAGTATAAATTGTTTTTCATTAAAACGTCTTGAAGCCGCTTCATATGATATCATTGTTTTATTTTCTGCCTTCTTCTCATTCTCTTCCAGTGTAATTATATTTGCCCTTTACTTTGATGGTCACTCTCTGCTGCTGTAATGACCAAATGTTCCTTATCTCACATAATTAAATCCTCCACTCTTAAAGGTTGGATTGTTTGAAGTGCAGTTGAATGAGACACGATCCATAGTCAGTGGATTTTGGGGAAACAGACAGTAGTGAGGGTATGGAAGCTAAACTATTCAAAGCCACCAAACTCCATTTACAAAAACAGTAATTTTATCTTAACTTAAAGGGCCCATGTCATGCTTTTCCAGTTATTACCCGTCCCCTTGTTATGAAGGTTTTTCTGCATGTAAACGGTCTGCAGAGTCACAAACCCTCAAAGTACACCCTGTAGCGAGTAAAACTCTAACACAGAAAAGACCTGTCTATGCTGCCCCAGAACGCCTCGTTGGAGATTTCTCTTTTTCCATTGTTTACTTCTTGGGTATAGTGACGTATTTCGGGTATAGTGATGTTACGTCCGCGGAGCCGTTACGTTTAGACCAATCCGCGGACTTCCTCACACACACACACACACACACTCGGCGGGACGTTGCGAGGCTCGCTGCTGCGAGGAGCGGGACACTGTGAGCTGGCTCACTGGTGTGGGGTCGGCGAGACAGCGAGGAACTCAGCCTGGGCACACACACAAACTCCCAGCCAGGCTGCGGGTGTGTGTGTGTTTCGGGCTGGGTCTCGCTGTGTCTCGCTGTCTTGCAGACGGCCACTGGGCTCACAGGGAGGGGGGGGGGCAGGAGCTCAAACAAGCCGTTTAGGACAGAGAGTGAATACACGTACTATACAGAGATGCTGTATGAGGAACCAATGTGAGTTTGGAAAATTGCACAATATAAATCTATTTTAGTAGACCTCAACAATGGAATTATGATCAGTAGAAATGTCATGGGACCTTTAACACAGGAGTTGTCGGTCTAACGTTGCTTTGATTTGTTGGTAAGATTGTGTTATTGTGTGACTTTCTTGAATCTGAATGAACCTTTTAAAGAACAAAAGTCACACAATAACACAAATACATGAACCGATTAAGAAAGCAATACCAGAAGCGCTCATGTTCTGTAAGGTAAAATTGCTGTTTTTGTCAATGGAGTCTGGAGTCTACAACCTCTTGCCTTTTTATCCAAACTTTTTTTGGACTGACCACCATATTCTGCAGGTAATACACTGACTACAAATGCAAAGTACACATAACCCGACTTCAAACTATCCATACTATACATTTTATCTGGTTTATTTACATGTGATTAGCTTGTATTTTTAAATGCTACCTCTTTTGTTTGAAGATGGCAGTATTAAATGCAATGAACCCATGATAAAGACTCATTCCTCTGTGTTTATACAAGATATTTGATCA